AGTTCCCCCAGTATATACATTTTTGACTTTACATATAGAACTAATGAACTCACTTCTTAGAATTTGAGAGGCAGAACATTAGAACAGATTTATATAATGGGTTTTGGCATCAAGCTAGAATTCTGATTTGTTTCCTGCTCTCTGTATAAATATGAACAATTGAACGAATGCCTGCAAGTGTCAGCTTTCTCCATTCTATGTCAGCATTAAGAAAAACATCTTTAATTTATATCAGTATTGTGAAATTCGAAAGAGCTAATGTGTACATGGTGGTCAGCCCAGTAAAACAGAAACCTTTCACAGAAGTAAATTATTGTGATAACTGTGCAGGATTTATAATTCAAGAGGTCTAATCCCAAAATCACAAATGAGGTATCCAAAATCAGAAAATCCAAGTGGCATATCTGAAGATCCCTAAGAGTCCCACAGAGCAGGCATATTCAGGTATAGCCCTTCTCGTTTCATTTCAGCTGCACAGGCTAAGCTACTTCATTATGACAGTGGGAAAACAATTTCCCTACACAAAATATGGTGACACACAAACATCATGAAACTAATGACTTCCATTTCCACTCACTGGTTCACAGAACCTTAAGCCTGGGCAAGGCCTCCTCATTCTAAGATCACTTGTTTATTTATTCCTAAGAAGATAGCCTCTGGTCCAGCCCTTCCCAGAAGAAGAAGAAGAAAGAGAAGAAGAAGAAGAAGAAGAAGAAGAAGAAGAAGAAGAAGGAGGAGGAGGAGGAGGAGGAGGAGGAGGAGGAGGAGGAGGAGGAGGAGGAAGAGGAGGGAAGAAGAAGAGGAGGAAGAGGAGGAGGAGGAGTAAGAGGAAGAGGAGGAGGGAGAAGAGGAAGAAAAGGATGAGAATGGTGATGATGATGATGAGGAGGAGGCAGAGGAGGGGGAGGTAGAGGAGAAGAGCTGAGCATGGTGGCACATACCTTTAATTGTAACACTTGAAAGCAGAGGCAGCTGGATCTTTGAGTCCAATACCAGCCAAGACTACATAGAGACATCTTGTCTCATGGAAACAAAAAAGTCCCACCACCCAGCCTGCAAACTACAAGATGATAGGACTTGTTAATAAGATTAGATATTTATTCTAATACAATATTTTAGAATAACAGAAATATATATATATATATATATATATATATATATATATATATAACTATTTATTTAATATGTACGCAATTACATTAAGCCAATGATGTTTGGTAGATACTATCTTAATCTTCAAAAGATTCATGAAAACTAGGAACTACTATTCTTCTTTTAGGTGGCAATAAACGGGATAAACACATAAATATAATATACTTATATTATATAATTAGTTGAATCATTATAATTAAGGAAGGTTGCTAACAAACTCTTTCCAATTCTAAAGGCCATGTCCCCAGAAAATGAAATAAAGTTCATCTATGGTTTCTGTAGGGCTGGAGACGAAAAATATTTTGGTGCCCTCTAGAGGTGATCAGGGTGTGCACCTGTCAAACCCTGGGAATGAGAGAAGTCAAGGCCATTGAGGAGGAGCTATCTATTTATTACTCTGGCTTCTTCATTTTTCAAGTGTAGACTACTTGGTCACTGTGGTAGCATTCTAGAACTTTAGCAAGCATCAAAACCAGTTTTACGGCTTGCTAGTGTGCAAACTCCTGACGTCCTGCCTCCACATTTTCATTCTGAGTCTTTGTACTGACTTTTCTTGTTTGGAATTTCAGCTACAGTTCCTTGAGATTCTAAGGCTGCTCATGAGGGGACCATGTTCAAAGAATCACTGCTACTTAGACCCACCTCAAGGAAGAAGCTCTTGTTGTAAACAACCTAGGTTTCCAGACAATTGTAATGCTTTGAACCAGAGTTCTCCATCATATTCTGGGAGAGCCACTGAGTTTACAAAGACAGGAATATCTCATTTAGGAGGTAGTTTTTTCTAAAACAAAACAAAGAACTGAGGGTTTCAGGAGAGATACACATTAGGGTGAAAGAGAAGTGGTTGTGTCTGGAACAGCTACTCATCTGCATTCAATGCTCTCTGCCTTCATTGAAGAACAGCACATTTGGGGTTAAGGGAGGAAAAAATCAAGTGTGTGTAACCATACGCCATCATGTACCTAGGCAGTGAGTAAGCATGGGATGACCTTTAGTCTGGTCATAACCTACATGGTATTTGGGGTTCCTATTCATATTTCCAATAAAAATACTATAAGTAAATTAGAAAAGTAAATACATTTTACAGTAATGGATAAGAGTATCACAAAACCAGTTAAATCCAAAAAAAATTGCTCTATGGAGTTTTTACAAAGTTGATCAATGTAATCAGTACTGCTCACCTTTGTTAAAAGATAGATAAAGTCTCACTAATATTTACCTCTCCTTTCTATATCAATTTTCTTTTCTTACTCCCTTTTCCCATATGTCCCAACATCACAAAGCTTTGATCTAACACTGCAGTTTTTTTTTAAAGTATCTAAATTATTCGTGCAGTCTTCCACCAATGGGATTTCCTCTTAAAATAATAGGAGACTTGAATGCTGACTCTACTGGATTCCACTTACTTAATCCAGGTCAGGATTTATGGAGACCTCGTGTGGTGACTGGAGGCACCACAGAGGTCTTTCTTAGGCCTGGCTACAACAATCAAAGAGAAACTCAGAATTCATTTGGGAGCAACAAAACCTAGGAAGAACTAAGCTTTGAAAGTTAATGTTTGGGATGCACATAAGGCCCTTAAGAAACATCCTTCAGCAGCAGGGTATAATGCTGTTTTTCTTTTTCTTTTCTTTTCTTTTCTTTTCTTTTTTTTTCAAGAAACTTTGTCATTCATGTTTGTTTCTTAATTGAAAGTTGTTGATACACAAAAACTTCACTAGCTTAAAAACATCAAGAATTACTTAAAACCATTATTTTTTTAAGAAATTCATTGGTCATATCTTCTATAAATCATTTAATTAAAAATGTTTCCATAGGCACATTTTGTGTGAATGTTATTCAACCTCCTCTTGATTTTATGCAGAATGGAAACCAAAGTACACACACACACACACACACACAGACACAGACAGACACACACACACACACGCACACACAGATAGAGATAGAGAGATAGATAGAGAGAGAGAGAGAGAGAGAGAGAGAAAGATCAAACCTGAATGTCACATCTAATTCCAGTGATATTATTTATGAATACTTTGAATGTAGATTCTTGTAATTAAAATGCACATAGAACAACAAACCACGTGTAGTGGATAAATTTATCATGTTACCAATGAAATGTCATAGTTGTGACAGTAAATGAATTAGTGCATGTGAAAACATGCCTTAATCACATAATTTATTATTATAAAGAAAAGTCACTAATTGGGGGAATCTTTCATCAGTGACAATTTGTTTTGCAACTGACATGTGTTCTGTGTTTCAAGTCATAAGGAAATGTGACTATGATGTCTCTTTTCTCTTCAAGGAAGTTAGTTATGTAACAGACCTTTAAGCTAAAATCTAGAAGGACAAATGAATGCATGAATGTCAAATGTTCTGAAGTCTTTTTAAGAATGGTGCCATACAAATAAATGACATTCAAATGAATAATATCAAGAATTCCAATCTACTTTATGAGGGGAACCCCTGTCTTTGAAAATCTCTTCTGAAGGGCTTTTGGATCTCAGTGGCAGGCAAAATGACCTGAAAAAGATATCCTGTAATTTTTAAATAGGCAAAAATAAAGATGTTGGAGGGATTTCATGTTTCACATTTGTGAAATAAAACACTTTGTCAGGAAACCTATTAAGTGACAGGTAAATTGTTAAATGCCAACAATGCTAAAGGGAACTGGGCAGACTTCGTGGTCAAGGGTTGGCAGATATTTTATACAAATGATACTTTACTATAAAACTGACTTTATGGTAGGAGCTGGCACAAAGTAGAACGTGACTACAGGCAAAGAAGATGAGGAAATTAAAATCAAGTGAAGAAGCTGACTCATTTAGATGTTATTTCAAACCTATAGTGGCCTTGGTTTCTGCTGAAAGGGAGATGGTGACTATTGCCAGACATCACGCTGAAGAGACAAGAAGAAATGAGGAAATAAATTCATTTTCAAAACATTGCAGGGGTAAGAGGTGGGGGTAGGGGTGGGGGTGGGGTGTCCAGGAAGGCACTGAATTCAGGAAAGCCTTCTAGTATAATTGGCGTTGCTAGGATTTACTTCCCCTTCCCTTTGCCTCCTAAGAGAGTAAAACCACAGGGACCTCTTCAAACCCGTGGAGTTGTGTGAGTTTGTATAGCGCACATACAACTGAGTCCCTTAGCATGGTGTTTTTAACTAAGTGACTAAAACGAAAGGGTTAACGGAAGACGGTGGCTTAGGGATGGGAGGGCAAGCAAGAAGGTGGAAAACACTATTCCCAACTTGCTACAACTCTAAACTTTAAAGCCTCCGAAAATGCACGCGGGTGTGTGTGTGTGGGGGGGGTAAGGGAGAGAGAATGCGCGCGCGCGAGCAGGCAGATCTATTTCAGTAGAGTTTTTTTGTTTTAATTTTAAAATCATAATCTCGCTGTCTCTCTCTTGCAGTGTTGCAAGCCCAGAGCGGTCCCCTTTAGGATCGCGACTCAAAAAGCAGCAGCAGAGGCACTGCCTTCTCTATTTATTTATGAGCTGCCCTCAAAGCCGCCCCTCTCTTCGTTCTCTCGCTGGGAACCTCGGGCTCCGGGCTCCGGTCACCTCTGAGGCCAAGGAGTTGCTTAGCGGGGACCAGGGCTCCTCTCTCTGATGGCCAAGTTTGCCCGATCCTAGGAGTCTGGGCGCGAGCAGGGGCGTACGGGAACGCGCGCCGCCGCCTGCAACCGGAGCTGGCAGCCTGGGCCTCACCTCTCCCGGGCGAGGTGCGGGCTTTCCGCGCGCGGCCAGGGGGCGGGGCGAGGCTCGCGGGGGCGGAGCCAAGGGCGGGGGCTCCGACTGCTATATAAAGCCCGGCGGCCGCTTTAACTTCGGACTTGAGCTTATTTATTTAGGAGCGCCTGGACGGCGGAGGCTGGAGGAGGCGGCGGCTGTGGCTGCCGCAGACGGTGGTTAAAAAAAGGAGGAGAAGGAGGCGGCGGCGGCGGTGGCGGCGGCGAGGGATGGGAGCGCCCAAGCTTCAGAGCGCAGGCCGAAGCTGCCGAGCTTTCCTGGGGCTGCGGGAGTACTGAGGAGAAAAGGGGGACGTCTCGGGGGCCCACAGGCGACTCCAGAGGCCCGGACTGGGGTCTTTTTGTTTGACTGCGCTCAGCGCCCTGCAGCCAGAGCGGATAACTCCAGTTACAACAACAACCCACCTTCCAGCAGCCGGGCGAGACTTAAGCTGCCGAGTCCGTCCTATTGTTTAGACACTTGCCTGGGGCTCTGGAGCGCCAGTCCGCGTACAGTCTCCGCCTTCCCTCTCTCCCTCCACCTTCCTCCCGGGAACCGCGAGTGCCGAAAGCATCCCTGAAAGGGGAAGGGGCTGGAAGCCAAGCGCTGCCTAGACTGTGGTCGCCGAGTCAGGTGCAACGTCCGGGGCCAAGCGGCATCTCAACGTCTGCGGCTGGACTCCTCCCGAGACGGTGGGAGACCGGATCCATCGCCTGAGGAAACTTCCTGCACTTTGAGGCTGTGGACCCACTTGTAGGGGCTGCCTGAGAGGTGACTGAGAGGCTGCACACATCAGGACGTCGCTGTTGTTTCTTGTACCTGTGCCGTCAGGTGTGTGGTGCGGAGCTGCGGTGTATCCCGGAGACCGGAGTGGCTGGCTGACAAGAGCGCGCACACTCTACTGCCATTTGGCTGTCGCCTGGGGTCTGCCAGAAGTGGCAGATCCCATCTTCCTGCCTACCACTTAGTAGTCATCCATCAGGACATAGTAGCAACACTGGCATCGGGGACATCTAGTCTTTGCTTTGCTCTTCTGGGCTTGCCTGTCTGCAAATCTTGCCCCAGCCAGTACCCACTCAATCTTCTGCCCTACTCAACTTGGCTTACTGGATTTTTCCCCCCCGCAGGGGTGAGGAATAGTGGATATTCCTGCAAGACTGCAGCGGTCCGACTGCCCTTTTGTCTCTCTGTGTGACCTCAGGGGCAGGCCCTGGTGCAGAGCGTCGCCAAGGACGCCGGGAGGGAGGCGGGATTGCCAAGATATCCTCCAGTGTAGTGCATGTGTGTGTACAAGCCATCCTTGGCTGTCGGGAAGCGGAGAAGACGGCTTGGGGCTGCTGCTGTGCCGCAGGAGTGGAGAGGCCCGGTGAGCTGAGCCCTGCGCCCCGCATCGCCGCCCGCCGCCCCCAAGGCTGCCTGAATACCCGGTGCGCCCCCGCGCGCGCCATGACCAGTCTCTCCGAGGGCTCTGCTTTGGACCTACCAGGCCTTTGCCCCTTCTAGCTTCCGGGGAGCCCACTTTGATCAGGGCCACCATTACTGTTAAAGTCCCCACCTCAGCCTTGTACTCTTCCCACTGGAATCGGATTTGCTAGAGGGTACGTGGGATCAGAAGTCCTCCCTTGTCCTCAAGCCACCAGCCTTTGCATCTTCGCGGACACTGCAAGTAGGAGCTCTTTTACCGCCAAGTTGAAGTCGCTCTCTGTCCTCACAGCTGCTTCGGGGGTCTGCTTCCAGCCTGAGTCGGGCCTATTGATATTCAGGACCTGAAGTTGCCCACGTATCTTCTGCTCTGTTGGAAAGGCTTGGAGAGCAGGGGAGAGACGTGTGCTTCAGTCAGCTCTCCTGCCCCATATCACTGTTCCATATTACTGTGTGAGCATCTCCCCGGGTGCTGTGGGCTGCAAGCCTAGAGCCAGGCACTGGGCCTCCAACACTGCCCAGTTTTCACGCAACCGAAAGCTCAAGAGAAGTCCCTCAAAGCAAGACGTCTGTTGGGGAAAATGAGTGGCATTGGCTGGCAGACACTGTCCCTATCGCTGGGGTTAGTGTTGTCGATCTTGAACAAGGTGGCGCCGCAGGCGTGCCCGGCCCAGTGCTCCTGTTCTGGCAGCACAGTGGACTGTCATGGACTGGCACTGCGCAGTGTGCCCAGGAATATCCCCCGCAACACCGAGAGACTGTGAGTATGGGTACTTCGCCCTCCCTGATTCTCCCTCACTCTCCATTGAGGTAGCACATCCCCAAGCGTCCAGCCTGGAAAGTCCACGTGTGGTAGAAACCTGTTCCTGGTGCAGCCCTCAGAGGCTCTTCAGCACGCGCATCCCGGGGTTGGGCCCTCTGGATAGGGCACTAAACTGGGAGGAGCCTTTGCCAAGGAGGGGCGGGTCGTTGGCAGCTATGCGTGGTGCCCTTTTCCTGTACCCACTCTCGCCCTTTGCAACTGCTTATGCACTGTGGACCAGTTCTTTCTGGTCGAGGAGAGAGGCGCCTGGAACTAGAATCCAAGGATGCCTAGGGCAAGGGAGGTGTGACCGTGTTTCCCAGACTGCAAAACCAAGAGTCACCTTGGGCTTGCAAACACACACGAGTCATTTCAGGACCTTGTTGCCTCAGACAGAGGAAGAAGGGGTGGCAGGCTGTTCAGAAAAGAGAATTGTTCTCTCCCGGGGCTTTATGTACCTTTCTAAGTACTGAGGGAGGGGAGATGGAGCCTTGTGCTTGAGCAGGTCTTTTCATTGTCTGCGAAGGATGAGTACCCCAGGACAACAGCAGTCCGCTCTGTGGGACATGCATCATTTCCCTACCCCGACTTTCTAAAGCCCCTCTCATTTACAGGGAGGAGGCAGCAACGGTAGCGGTCATTAAGTGACTCCACTGAGCGGGAGACTTCGGGAAAGACTGCGTCCCGGGTTTTAAGTAAAGTTAGCACTGCTGTTTCATCTAGAACCCATTGGGCCGGGTCCAACTGCTTTGGTGACCCCATGGCCTGGGCTGCCCCTTCCAGCTCTTCCTGCTGCGGCTGTATGCCCTAGGGGCACCTTTCTGGCAATCTGTGAGCTCCTTCACTTGGTGGCAGCTGCTCTGCCTGCCCCTCTTCGCGCTCGGTCGCCCGCAGACATCCCCGCCTCCCTGTCTGCGCCAGTCTTAATGAAGAAATAAACTCAGACCGGGGGATGACGGCCCACGCGCTCCTGGTAGGACACTTCCCGAGTTAGGGAAGCGAAGCGCTGAGGCTACTCTCTTTGTGAAGCGGAGCCCTTCGCCACGCGCCCTCCCCAGCCCCCGGGATGCGCCGGGCTCTCCCGGTTGCGCATGGGCCAGGCAGGCGCGGATGGCTTGGGCTAGTGTAGCGTGGGCGATTGCGCAGAGACTCCTGTTCTTTGCTAGAACTGGGTTTAGCTACGGGAAAGGGAAACCCTAGGGCAACACTTCTGCACGCAAAGTCATCAAGGCCAACACTTGTCCTCCTCTTTATGTAAACTGCGTGTCTCCCCCCCGCCCCGCCCCCGTCTGAAGGCCCAAGTCCAGGACTTTCTCGGTTTGGAAAGGTTTGCCCATCTCTAGCTCCTCTAAGACTCTCCCCTTGATTGTTTTTCAGCTAGTTGGGCCTTCCCGCGGGTGTCTCATCAGTGTGTGATCTACAGTATTTATTTGCTATTGGGGTCTGGATCGCACAGATGACCAATAGCCCTTAAGTGATTCCCACAACTTTAGAGACAATTCAGAGAGGTAGGTTGGCGAGACAAGGAGGAGAGCAATGAGGAATTCTGATTTAGTCTTCAGCGTCATTCCTTGCCCTTCAGAATAATGTAAATTCTAACTTGTCAAAGGACTGGGTTTCCAGAACTGGCAGGGGAGTGCCCAGTGGTTGGAAAAAAATTCTTTATGAGAGATCTGTGGGGTTTTTAGGAAACCACATATCCAGTGCTGGTTTATAAAATTCTATCGTTAGCAAAGTAAACACGTTAAATACAGATTTCAGCACAAAAGTTGGAAAGTTCAAAGGAAGAGAACTTCCAGAAAGGAACTCAATGTCTCCCAAAGGCTAGTTTTATTGTGAATGAATGAAGCCCTGAAAATTTACTTGTTGATCAGAAAAGAAGAAGGTGACTTAGGTAACTGCGGTGTTGAAATGAAACAAGTATGTCAAGGCCAAATCCTGCTTCCATTATTGTCCACACTGGTGGTTTAAACTGCAGTCAGGGGTGGGGGTGGGGGTGGGGGAGTGGCGGGGGTACAGGGGCTGCTATAAAGAGTTCAGCTTCCCCAGGGACCTAGAATTGGGAGAGATGAAGGTCTTTGAGGTACCTTACTCTCCCTCACACACTTTTCTTTGCCTCAGGAATTTTGGCCGCAATGCTACCTCCTGAGTGTTCTAATTTTCAAAAGAAATTTCCCCGAATAGTATGAGACTTTTTCTCTTTTCATTAAACTTCCTGAAAGAAACTTCTGGGGGGCTGTGCTAAAAATAAGAGCAAAATTGCAGAATACCTCAGTAAATAAATACCCATATTCTTGTAGAAACCCAAATCGAAAGCACACACACACACACACACACACACAGGCCACAAACACACAAAAGCCAAGTTAGTGGTGGCATCATCGCTTCAGTTATTTTTTTTGACATATGTCAGCAAGAATTTTGTAAACATGAAACGTTTATGAACTATTATTTCAAAGGCCTCTTTCCTTTTCTCTCCAGCTCACTTTTTAAGCCACACTAATTGAATTAAGGTTTTTTTCCCCCTAAAGCTCTAACTTGTTTTAAGTTTTACTTTGACCAAATATGAGAGAAATAAAAAAAGGAACTTTAATTTTTTGGTGTCTCTTAGGGATTTGAATGGAAATAACATCACGCGGATCACGAAGACAGATTTTGCTGGTCTCAGGCACCTCAGAGTTCTGTAAGTGTGTTCTTCTTCTGCATCTCAGTTTTGTTTGGAAGATGGCCTACTTTGTTACAACCACTAAATTTTCATAGCCTTTAAAAGGTATCTGAAGACAGACGCCAAAAAAAAAAAAATTATAGTCTTCCATTTCTTTTTGTTTTCCATTGTACAACTTTCCTTGAAATCTGTACCTTTAAGTAGTGGATGTGTGGTGGGGATATCAAGATAGAAAGGACCTCAGATCGATGGTTTACTCTACTTTAAGGGCCTTATACATGAAAATGTGGAATCATTGTTTTTGTTTTTTACAAAATGAGTAAAACAATGGGCGAAATCTGATATGTTGAGAACTTAACCATTAGCTTGGAAGCTTTCAGTAGGTTGCTTTCTCTTACTACTGAAGTAAAAGTGTCCAGACTTTTTTTTTCCCACAAAGCAAGAGTAGAGAAAAAAAATTAATATTAAAATCATGCAATCCATCTTTTCCGAAGTTTGGAAGGCGTGCTTGTGTATCAAATATATTGATGTCATTTTAAGTTGCATTCTTTACATTTTATAGCTTTGTAGCTGATATAAATTGTCGCGGCATGATTACTGAACTAATTAGTGGGTTAAATTAGGTGTGAGTTAACCATTAGTTTGAGTGTCAACAGTATGCAAAATTGTATTACCCACAGGTTTGTAAATATTTACACCCAGTGGCCAACTATTTTCGACTACTGTGCTTACAATGTTAAGTTTTAAGGACCAATTTTGGTCCTTGTGACATTATTCCATTGATGATGTGTATCTGAAAGTCAGAATTAAACTATGCATTCATTAAGCTACTGAATTTGTTAGGAACACAGGTGAAATCAGTATAAGAAAACAGCTCTCAAAGCTGCCCTGTGCTCTGAGTTCCCATCATTGACTTACGTTGGAGTTTAAGTTTCAGATCTTACTTTTTAGGACTAACTGTTGTAAGAAACTTGGTCAGTATTTTTTTTAAAAAAATAAATGCCTTGTGGTGTGGAAGCTGCTTCCCCCACCCCCTCTGAGATCTCTCTCACTTCATTACTGAATTTGCTAGTGACTTTCAATTCAGAGCGAAATAGAATGGGAGAATTAGAGAGGGTTGCAGGTTTCCACTGCTGAATTGCAGCCTCCTCAGATGGCAACATTAAGAAGCATGTTATATTTTGCATTTCAGTCAGCTCATGGAGAACAAGATCAGCACCATCGAGAGGGGAGCATTCCAGGATCTTAAGGAGCTGGAAAGACTGTAAGTATTTTCAGTTCCAAACCCATGACAACATGTCTGTGTGCTTAAAGCCACTGGATGTCAGGATTATGTCTTCAGTTATGTCTGCTTAACTTTTAAAGTTTAAGCAGAAAAGCCACAAACAAGTAGTTTCCAAGGTAGAGCAGAGTCCTGGGTAAAGATCATGAACTCCTGTTAAAACCTAAAAGTTCAGGTTTCCAGAGATATTTCCTTGGTGATCATTGCTTTGACACTAAACTAGCGGCATGTTTTTGTTTGTGATACCTGTGGTTTAAGTAGAAAGACTGATTGGTAATTTTATTTGCACTTTATGGAAAGAGAGACTTAGGGAAGAATCTTGTAAGCATCCACGCTGTTACTGAGTGCACCATTGTTGATACTTTAGGAAATTTAAAAGGGGTTGTGGGTAAGTGACTTGTTAGATGTTTAACACTTACAGTGAACATTGATAATAATGACTCTTCTCAATTTTATTTAATTGTTTATAATAGCTTCTAAAATATTACTGTTCGGAAAAATAAGCTAAGGGTTGTTAAAGTAGGGATGGGTCATCATCCATTACTGGCATTATATTTTTAATGAAATTTAAGAATAAATTTTGCACTTCAAAAATACTTTTAGACATAAAAATTCTTATGGATATACATATTAGTTGACTATTATTATGTTCACAGAATATATATTATTTAACAATATATGTATATATATATACACACACACACTCATAAAAGAAAATTTATGTCTGAAATCAGAGAAATTATAGAGATTGTAATGTGAAATGTGATTAACAGATCTCATTTGTCTTGATTATATTTTCACTTTTAAGGCACTGAAATTAAAATCACTAATAATTATTTTAATAAGTTTCCATGCCTACCTTAATAGTCACTTTAGTAAAAAGATATAATACATTTATCTAAATATATTTGGGGGGACACAGTTTATATTCAGATTCACCGACACCAGAGCAAAGGTTACTTTTCTGTCGTTGTCTAAAAGTAAAAATAATTGACTTGTAATTTTGTGATATATTTGGGAATAAACAGGCTGTGTTTTTATTGCCTCAAGTAAAGCATGGGAACATCTATTTTACTTTAAAACTCTGTCCATTACAAATACGATATAGTGAATGTAACTGTAGAATAACATATAAATTAATTTACTACACTGAGATGCATTTAGAGGAAGTAAAAACAAGGGAAATATTTAGTTGAGATCATATCCAATTTTTATGTCCATAACCTATCTTCTATATATAAAATGCTTTGAAAGTGTTTATTGTTGTACTACTTCCTAGATGTTTGGGCATAGCTGATATACCCAGTGAGTAACTCAGAGATATTTTATACTCTATAGTTTAATATGTATTGAAGCATGTATTTTATAATAAAATAAAACTTATCGATAAATGAATAGATAATTAAATGTTCATTGGAACAGTACCAGTTTTGTCAAGAATGTCTTCTGGTCAGACTACGAACATACTGATAACTCGGTCCTTAAGCTACATTTAAATGGCAGTCTTCTCCATGGCGTTTCCTGGGACTCACGTTTACTTGTAACGTTCAGTCTTTAGGAACATAAGAACAAAGCACACTTTTTTTTTTTTTATACATTTTTTAAAGCCACTTCAGAATTTCATCTGAACTTTTGTCTTAAGTAAATCAGTTCTTTCTAAAACTCCTAAAGATGCCATATAATTTGAAATTTGATTACAGTTGTAAGTGGAGACTATTTTTTAACTTTGACTTCCCTTGAGAATGTCACTTCATCTCTGAACAATTTTCTAGTCTACAAAGGCTAAGTCAGATGTTGCAGAGTAGGAGGAGGGCTTGTAATTTTGAATGAAAACTAATATATATGCAAGACTTCTTTAAATCACCCCAGCTGTTGGCTGAGAGCAAATATTTCATATTTGTGAGGAAAAGCTGAGAAAATTCCATTTGTTTACAACTGCCAAGTCCATCTGATGGAAGCGCATTGTTATCTGACAGCCAATTCATCTCCTTGGGACTCTGGAATTCTAAGCCATTTCTTAGGAACATTGTGGATACACTTTTCAAATATTTATTTTTAAATATATTAAATGCCAAGGCAGATTTACTAAGAAATGCATTCAAAACTATTGTGAAGAAAACCATTTTAAATTTTGTTCAGTTTATTTTTTTAAACAATAAAAATACAAAAGAAAAAAAACTACCTTACTTTGTGACTTTCATATTCAAATTATTATGACTTATAACATCTACCCCTATTTTATATAGAGTCATTAATGTCACATGAACAACTTGCTTACTTACAAAACTTCAAGTGGGGATACAAGAAACAGGAAATGGATTAATGTTAAGCTCTGGATTGTATAATCTACATGATTGTTAATAAATTGGATGCAAAACTGCCAATTGAACTCCAAATTGTGACACAGTGCATTAGAAACTATTTATGTTGTAATAGACATTCACCTAGAAAAGCATGACTCTAGTTTTTTCCTTTGTATGTAAAGCAAAACAAAATAAAAACCACCAACTTTATTCACATCCAGTGTATTGTTCTAAGTTGTTTTTATTTTAAAATGATATCATAAAACATTTGTCAATATTGGGAAGGTATTTTGTGAAAACATCAAGAGTTAGGTATTTTTTATAATATTGATGAAATTTTAACGTAATAAAGAAAAAGGAGATCTGAAAATAGTAAACAATATCTACACCATTTTATGCAGAGAGTTTTTAATTAGTAAAAAAAAAAAAAAAAAACCCAAGGTCATTTTAGCTTAAATTTAACACTATATGAGATTAGAAAGACATACTTGTAAATCAAAGCACTATAGATACAAAAGAAGATTTTCACTTAATTAATGCAGTTAAAACAATGGCAGTCAACATGTTAAGCTGTCCCTCCTACCTCCTTCTTTCCTCCTTTCTTTACTTTCTTCCTTTCTTCTCAAACCGTTTGTCCCTCTCTACTCCCTCCTTTCAAGTCACTCTGTTTTGCTATTGTGGGAAAAACAGCATCTGATGATGATGGTCTCCTCAGCATGTGGTTATGAGTCACTGTGAATCTGATAGGTTTTCATGGAGCTTGCACCCCATGAGCTCATGTCACTTCCTGGTGGGACAGTTGCAGCCATACTCCCAGGCCTGATATATGCCATGCCAGGGTGTCTGGAATGCTTTGTCTTCTCAGTAGTACTATTTTATCTCGGAGGGAGGTGTTTGGGAGCATCACAGGGAGAATACTCATCATACACATTGAAATACAATAGCTTCCTATTGTTTAATAAGAAAGTTATAGAGGAATCTAATGAAGTTATTTTATAAGCTGGTTCAATCCAAACCCACTAAGCAAAACCAAAGTCCATACAAGTAAGTTACACAAAACATTAGGATAATCAAAGTATGCTTTTCTTTATACTTCACAGAGCACTGAATAGCTCCACCAGTCTCCATTAAAAGTTATTAACTTAAGGTATATAATGTTCTATGTAGTTTTCTTCAAGTTGCAAATCCCATCCGCTGCTGAAGCTGTGCTGCTCACTGGCAATCTGTGCATAGCTATGGTCAGGCTGTACTCCCTGGGTTCTGTTTTATGGCTGTCTGAGAGGAACTTTGGCATCCTACTAGTAAAATCAATTCCTCCCATTTTGACAATCCCCTCATAGCGTGAGTGGAATATTATTGGAATTTTTGATATAATGATGCTTCAAAATGAAACACATATTTGTCTAGCTTATGTTTGTGGGTGAGCAGCAGCCAGGAATAGAAAATCGTGGCTTAGAATGGACTCCACAAATACCAAATACTCATCATTACAAATAATTCCAGAAGTAGGAAGGCACTTTGGAGTTAGGTTAAATGGCTTTAGAAGTGGTATTTTAGGCTCTGCTGATGGGGGCAGGGCAGAGACAAAAGCCTAGCTGCTCCTGGTTTCAGGCACCTTTTGATACCTTCTTCTGGATCACCTGTGAAAGCTACTCACCCATTATGCTGTTGATTGGATGTCTAGCCAGTTCTAAACTCATCTCCATTCTAAAGCCAGAATGAGACTTTTGCAGATCCTGAATTTGCATTGCCCTGTAAGATCTTGATCATACAGTTTCCTCTTTAAAATTTTCAGTTACTTCAACTTCAAAATAGGGACAGTTATTAAGGTCCAGCTCTTCCCTCAACACTCCAATGGTCTGCTTTTCAGATCTATACTTCATTCAAACAATCCTGGTGTTATTCTTTTCATTTTTAACGTGACATTTTAAATAAATAAAATAACGAATTTAAAAACGAAGAAAATTTCCTTGAAAAAAAAATCCTAAAAGTATTGTGATGTGAGGAATCCCAGGATATAAATATAACTTAAATATTTTTACGTTTCCACCAATTCATAATCATCAAATATATCTATCACCCTTAAGGTCAGAAATTTGGAACCTTTTAGAATAAAGACACCATTTGAGCAAACTGTATTTCATGAACAAATACTTAAAAGATATGATTTCCTCTAAGGCGGTTGTGAATTCATCCTCTTGCCATGAGTATAATTCGACTCAAACAAATGGCACTGTGTGGTTGGGAGTGGTGGCCTGGAGATTGTATTGTAGGTTGTAACACATGAGTTCAAGTGTAGAAAATGTTGTAGAACAGGTCTGAAGGATAGCACCATTTATCCTCTGTTTGTCAAGGCTGTAGAGGACCCCTCTTCCCACTAATCCTGCAAGCTTATATGCAACCTAACACATCCATAGTTCTTGTAAAGAGAATCTCACAACACTAATCTCCGTGGCAAAGAATCTAAGTTCATCTCAAGGGACATTTCTCTGGTATTGTACACCTTGCTTTAAAATCCCTGTTGGTTTCATATACATTTTACATGTTTTTTTTTTCTTAAAGAAATACATCAGACATAGTGTATAATAAATTAAAATGTGTGAATCAATTCATAGTTGTTAAATGCCTCTATTCCAGTGCATTTCTAAGTAGTATGGGCAATTCTGAATCATGTTCACT